CGAACTTCGAATTTGACGTCGGTGGGAGCGCCCAGGGCCGAATTTATGTACGGGGTGGGGGTCGGGGGGGGTTCCGCTATAAGAACATTCGAAGAGGAATATGTGCTCAGCCCTTCCCCCAGCGCGCATTCATTTTGCATGTGTTTTTGAGCTCTGCATTCGTGTTCTCACTGATCATCCGTTTTCTTTCCATCAGCGCCTGCTCATCCATCCTTCCAATGCGTCATTTCTCCGCTGATCCCTCGTGCGGGAATCTAAATTGAATCAGCTGGATCTGGGATCTGCTCCATTCTGACTAAATCCTTTGTAGATTCCAGTACGAATCAAATTGGACCCAGCTGGATCAGGGGTCTGCTCAAGTCCAATTCGGTTCTAACCAAATTCCAATCGGAATCCAAGTGTGCCGCCTGAATTTGGGTCTGTCAAATCGAATTAATGTTTAATTCGATCCCGATACGGATCCAACTGGTAAGCTGGATGTGGGCTTTGCTCCACCCCAATTAATTGCTATGCCACTAGGAATCTAAGTAGAAACAGCTGGAACTGGGGCCTGCCCAATACCAATTAGATTATACAGATATTCAAATGGCAATCCAAGTGGAACCAGCTGGACCTGGAATCTGCTGCGTTCCAAGCCGGTTCTCATTACTAATTACAAGTCAATCGAATATGATTGGAACCAGCTGGAGCTAGTTTCGTACACATCCAATTAGATTCGAAGTATGCACAGCTATAAATCTGATTCAAACTAGCTGGATCTGGGATCTGCTCCAATTCAACTAGATGTTGCTTATATGCCAATAAGATTCCAATTGGAGCTAGCTGGAACTGGGATCTGCTCCATTTCCACGTTGATTTTAGTTTGATTCCAATAGGAAGCGCATCATAATCAGCTGGGTCTGGGGTCTGCTCCACTCCACTGGCTTTTTTATCGGGATATATTCGAAATCAGCTGGACCTTCTATTTGTTACCTTCCAATCCGACTTTGATCTGGTCCCACTAAGAACCCAAGGGGGATCAGTTGGATATGGTATCTGCCCTATTCCACGTAGATTCTAAGCATATCCCAATGGGGATCCAATGTGAGCCAGCTGTCTGTGATCTGCACCATGCCAAAATCGTTTCTGAGTATGTTCCCATCGGGATCCAATACGAATCAGCTGGATCTGGGCTCTGCTCAGTTCTAGTTCGAATAGGTTATGCCCTAAGAAGAATATTGCTGTAATCAGCTGCATATGGGATCCGCGTCGCTCCAGATAGATTCACATTGCATTCCAACAGGAATATAATTCAAGTCGGCTGGATCTGGAATCTGTTCAATTCCAAGTGTGTTCTCGTCGGGTGAATGGAGAGTCCCAGACACCGAGAAACATTTCAGTGAAAACGCAGGGCTCGCTACGCCAGGGGTGCCCAAACCTTGCAGCCCTTCGATGCCAGGGGAGCGCCAAACCTTGTAATTGCATTGGGATTCCTGGGTCTCCTGTGATTTCAAGCCCTGGAGTAAAACCAACCTAGGGGTCCCCGTGAGTTCCAGGGTCCGAATTCCAGGAATCCCAATGAAACCGCAGGGTTCGCGACGTCGGCGATGCGCAAACCTTGCAGTTTCATTTGCATTCCTGGTGTTTTGGGGGATGCAAAACCACCACGCACTGAGTTTTCATGCGGATTCCTGGGGTTCCTGGGATTTCAAGCCATGGAGCAAAATCAACCTTGGGATCCCCAATACATCCACGGTTCAGAATCCCAGGAATCCCCGTGAAATCGCACGGGCCGTGACGTCGGTGATGCGCAAACTTCATGCTTTCATTTAGATGTATGTGATTTCTGGGATGCTACTCCACCGCGCACGGGCTTTTCATGTGGACTCCTGGGATTCCTGTGATTTCAGCCCTCCTGGACCTTCGGGGACCCGAGGGCTCGTAGTTCGGTTTGCTCCAAGGGTGAAAATCCCAGGAACCCCAAGAACCCCAATGAAAAGAACCAGTGCGCGGTGGATTTGCATCCCAGAAATCCAAAGGATCCCACTGACATCACAGGGTTTGCGCATCACCGACGTCGCGAACCTTGTGATCTCATTGAGATTTCTGTGTTTCTGAGCCATGGACATCTGGGGGTCCCAAGGTTGGTTTTGTTCAAATGCTTGAAATCCCCTGTGCCCCAGGAATCCCGTTGAAAAACCAATGTGCCTGGTTTGCATCCCAGAAATTCCAGGAATCCCAGTGAAACCACAGGGCTCGCGCATCACCGACGTCGCGAACCCTGCGATTTCATGGGGATTCCTGGAGTTCGCCGTCGGATCCAATGAAGTTCGCGCGGGTCCAAGTTTGGTTTGGGTTTTTGTTTCGGCGGATCCGATTTCCGTCCGCGCGGATCCGATTTCGGTTTTCCTGGATCCGCGTCCGGTCTTATTTTAACGGCGGATCCGATTTCCACCCAATTTTACATCTGCATTACTAAACTGAAACGGCGGACCCCGGAAACCGTGATAAGATTCTACGGGGGAGGGGGCTTCGGTTTTTAATTTCCCAAGATGGATCCTGCGCTGTCTCGCGCGCTCCCACTAACTTTCCGCGCGCGCGCGCGGGGCCCACTCAACATGAATACATCTCTCTCTCCCCCCAGTTGCTGCACGCAGCTCGTCCAGACGCCGTCCGTTCGGCGGTGCCGATATTTTTCCGCGCGCTCAACATCGCCATTTTCACCTCAAGAGGAACATCGGCCCTGCGTGAGTGCATTTCGGCCCTGCATCTCCTGACCCAACGGACTGCCTGTGCGCTCTCTCTCACGATGACGCGGCCCTTCGCGTTCGGCGCGGGTTCAATCGTCGCGCATCCCGACCGCCCCCCATCAGGGTCGCGCGCGCGGGGGCCCGCGGGTTTATGTGGCAACCAACAAGTCCGAAGGCCAAAACGCCAGTGCGTTTCGGGGCTATGTGGCAACCAACACCTCCGAAGGCGAAAACGCCCATCCCCACGACGAAAGTTTTCCTTTTGGGCCCAGAGCGACGTTTTGAAGTATTGCGCAGAAGCGTATGAGATAACCGCCGTCGGATCCAATGAAGTTCGCGCGGGTCCAATTTTGATTTCGGCTTCTCTTTCGGCGGATCAGATTTCCGTCCGCGTGGGTCCGATTTCAGATTTTCTGGGTCCGCGGTTCTTGTTTTATATTTTTTGGTGGATCCAATATATGCCCCGTTTTAACGGGGAGCCGGAAGAAATCGGACCCGCGGACCCCAGAACCCGCCCGTGTAAATATTCTACGAGGGATGGGGGTCCGGTCATCCATTTCTCAGGACGGGTCCCGCGCTGTTTGGCGCACTCCCACCAACTCTCCGCGGCCCCACCCAACATGAATACTTGTTGTTCTTCCCGGTTGCTGCGCGCAGCTCGTCTAGACGCCGTCCGTTCGGCGGGGCGTATGCTATCTCGAGTAATCATCATCGCCGTTTTCACGTCAAGAGGAACATTCTTTGTCCTGCGTAAGTAGCTCAGGGACCTCACGCTTGCTTATTTCAGACGCATGGTCGCTGGTGAAAGGATGCGTTTTACCGCCGTTTGGCGAACAGTGGTCTGGGCGAAGAGAGCCTCCTGTCACATGTGGCGTCAGCGCCAGTTCGCATGTGTTCCGAAGAGCTGACAGTTCAATCGCCAGCGGAGGTATAGTTCGTGCTGGGGTACGCGTTGGAATATAGACGGGTCGGATTTCGCGGAACGGTTTCCCACGCATTTGGGTCGACGTGCCTTCGCGTCGTTCGAGGCCGCTCGTCCACCTTCGCTCGTCAAAAGCATTTCGTGCATTTGTCTGCGAGCGTGTGTGTGTGGCACTTGTTGATGACAGAAACAGCGACTCTGCGAAGAGGGTGGGGGAGACGTTTGCTTGTGGAGAGGGCTGGCTGTTGAGATATGCTTGCCGACACTTGCCACAATCTGACCTGGGCTCTGGGAGGCTGGCCCTGTGTTGCGGCAGCGGTGGCCCCGTGCGGTGGGGCAGGCCTCATACGGTTCGGCCTCCTCGAGATCCCTTCGGCTTCAGGCACTGCTCCACTGCTCAACGCGCCGTCCTACGTGCTGGCATCATGCTGCCCTGTAGGTCCCAGGGCGTGCCCCCAACTGAGCCCAGAATGTCCTCGTGAAGGCAGCGCCGTCGCCAGGGTATAATGTTATGTTGTGGGTTATTGGGGCGCGCCACTAACTGCATCGACAGCCTTCTTGCCAAGCGCAGCAGGTTCGACACCGATCGACGACGACGATGACGACGACGACCTCGACGACGACCTAAGACGACGACGACGACGACGACGACGACGACGACCTCGACGTCGACGTCGACGATGCCCCGACTTCTTCTGGAGGTCGTCCTGACAAGAATGATACGGCGGTCAGGCCATGACCACGACGTTCCGAGAGGCCCAAGAATGTTCAGGAGCCTGGCTCCCCGATGCGACGGCGACCCCTGGAGGCCCTCGGAGGCCCCTGGAGATACCTGTAGACTTCTGGAGACCCACGGAGAGGGTCAAATTCCTCCTCCTCCTCCTCCTCCTCCGCCTCCTCCTCCTCCTCCTCCTCCGCGCCTCCTCCTCCGCCAAGACACCTGCAAACACTTTGGTCCTCGACCCTGCGATCCTCGACCCTCGATCCTCGGCGACGGCGACGATTTCCCCTGGCCGGCCCCAGGGGCGTGGCTCTGCCCCTCGGGCACACGTGCGCGTGCCCGCAGGGGTGCGGGCGGGGGTCGGACGTCGGTGCGCCCTCTCGTCCTCGTCCTCCTCCTCGTCCTCCTCGGCACCGTATCCTCGCCCTCCGTCATCGTCCTCGTGCCTCTCTTCGTCCTCCCCGCCCTCAGCCTCCTCCTCCTCCTCCTCTTCTTCCTCCTCTTCCTCCTCCTCCTCCTCCTCCTCCTTCTCCCCCTCGCCCTTTCTCGTCCTCCTCCTCCTCCTCCTGCTCCGCCGCCCCTCGTCCCTCCTCCTGTTGTGCCTCCTGCCGCCGCCGGCTGGCCCCAGGGGCGCGGATCCGCCCCCTTGGGCACATGTGCGCGTGCCCGTAGGGGCGCAGGCTGGGTCCCGCCCCCGCTCGCGCCGGGCTCACCGAGCCGTCGTCGTCGCCCCCTTCATTTCGTCTCCTCCTCCTCCTCCTCCTCCTCCTCCTCCTCCTCCTCCTCCCTCCTCCTCCTCCTCCTCCTCCTCCTCCTCCTCCTCCTCCTCCCTCCTCCTCCTCCTCCTCCTCCGCCTCCTCTCCTCCTCCCCTCCTCCTCCTCCTCCTCCTCTCCACCTCCTCCTCCTCCGCCTCCTCCTCCTCCTCCGCCTCCTCCTCCGCCTCCTCCTCGCGCCGTGCTCACCGGGCCGCCGCCCCGTCGCCGGCGGGGGCGGCCTTGGCGGCCTCAGTCGAGTAGTGGCGAGGCGTCCTGGCTTGCCTATAGGCTTAAGTCGGGCATGTCCTTCTACACGAGGAATATTCAAAAATAGTCTGGGGACGATTTGTCCTAGCATTTGTTTTATATGTTCGAGTATTTTTGAGTATTTGTGATTTTTCCGTCCACAATACGCATGTAGGGGGACATACCCGGCCTAAGTATAGGCCCACCAAAGAGTGTTATGATAACCTTTGGGGGGTCTGCACGAAACATGTTCTTAGAGCATTTCGGGCGGAGGCAGTCTCGCTGTAACGCGTCGGGCTTGTGTTCTAAGAACACTGCCGATGTTCTTAGAACATGTTTGGGTTCTACGAGCATTTCGTGGTGGGCCTACAGGAATGCTGGGAAGGTCGGTCCCTGCTCAAAGGATGGTGGCGGCGGCGACGATGACGAGGGCTTTTGCGTCTCGTCGCCACGACCAGATGGACTCCAGGAGGGGTCCAGAGACTAGTTTTGAGTGGATGTTGAGTAGTCGTCACCGTCGCCGCCGCCGCCGCCGCCAACGCCAACGCCGCCGCCGCCGCCAACGCCGCCGCCGCCGCCGCTGTCGTCGTCGTCGCCGTCGTCTTCGTGGTCGTCGTCGTCGTCGTCCTTCTCCTCCTCCTCCTCCTCCTCCTCCTCCTCCTCCTCCTCCTCCTCCTCCTCCTCGTCCTCCTCCTCGAGCATCGAGGATCGAGCATCGAGGGTCGAGGCTGCTCGACATTTTGGGCTCTGGGGGGGTCTCCTGGAGGCCCCTCGCCGCCGTCCGGCGGAGGTTCCCCTCAGAATGCTGGCCGGAGCGCACCCCCGCAGGGGTCCATGGGCCAGCTTTTTGAGGGAGGAGGCTTAAATCGGGCGTGTCCCTCTACAGGAGGAATAGTCAGATATGGTCAGAAAATAGTCCGGGGACGATTTTGTGACAATGTCTGACTATGTTGGGGATTTTTTTGAGTATCTTTCATTTTTCACGCAAAATCCGCCCAGAGGGGGACATGCCCGACCTAAGAGGAGGCGCCGCCGCCGTCGACGACCGATCGAACGAGCAATCGTCGATCCAGGTTCGAGGCTCGGAGTTGTCCGACATGCTTCTCCGATTTGGACTTCCTGGAGGTTGTTCGTGGCCAGGGCTGGCTTCGTCCCGACATCTGGCCAAAACGCGCGCAAGTGCAGGTCCTGCGGGGTCGTTGTCGTCTTCGCTGTCCATTCGTCGATGTTAAGCCGTAGGACGATGATGATGATGATGATGATGATGATGATGATGATGATGATGATGATGATGATGATGATGATGATGATGATGATGATGGTGATGGTGATGGTGATGGTGATGGTGATGGTGATGGTGATGGTGATGGTGATGGTGATGGTGATGACGATGGCGATGGTGATGGCGATGGCGATGGCGATGGCGATGGCGATGATGATCATGATCATGATCATGATGGTGAAGGTGATGGTGATGGTGGTGATGATGATGCTGCTGCTGATGATGATGATGATGATGATGATGATAAGGAGGAGGAGAAGGAGGATGATGAGGAGGAGGAGGAAAATTAGGAGGAGGAGGAGGATGATGATCATGATGAAGAGGAGGAGGAGGAAGAGGGAGGAGGAGAAGGAGGAGCAGTAGGAGAAGGAGGAGGAGGACGAGGAGGAGAAGGAGGAGAAGGAGGAGGTGTAGGAAAATTAGGAGGAGGATGAGGATGATGATGATGATGATGAGGAGGAGGAGGAGGAGGAGGAAGAGGGAGGAGGAGAAGGAGGAGCAGTAGGAGAAGGAGGAGGAGGACGAGGAGGAGAAGGAGGAGGAGGAGGAGGTGGAGCAGAAGGAAAAAGAAACAGGAGGAGGATATGGATTGGATTGTTAGGCCATTATGTTTCGCTCCCAGGCCCCACATGTGGAGGAGAGGAAAAGGGAGGAGAAGAGGGGGGCAGGAGGAGATCGAGGTTTTTGGATGCCTTGGCATTTTTTCCAAACCTCCTGTGCTGGGTTCTCGTTTTGAAAAGAGCAATGCGGTCTCCAGTCCTCCTTCCTCCCGCCTCTCTGCTTCTCTCCTGCCTCTTACCTGCCTCCTACTTCGCCATCCCTGTGGGGCTGCGTTCTGAGCAACCGTCGCCAGTTTCAAGGGTTGCTGGAAGGGCCAGCCAGAATAGATGGGCGTGATTCAAGTTTCGTCCAAGTCTGCCTCTGAGGCGCTCTCGGGCATGATGCAGAAAAAATACCAAACAAATGCAGAAGAACACGAGGCCAACCGAGTTCGAGCCTGGTTCGAACTTGCTTTTCGAGGAAGTCCCTCGCGAGACGCTCTCTTTCCTCTTGTTTGGAACCGAGTTCGAGCCTGGCTCGAATATGTTTTTCGACGAAGTCCTGCGAGAAAGTCCAGGTGTGTATATGTTTGGACCGACTTCGATTGTTTGGAACCGACTATGGAGCCCGGTTCGAGTCTTTCTGTCGAAGAAGCTTCGCGCGTTTCTCCGTTGTGGAATTGCCATCACGTCTAGCCTTGCAAGACATGATTGGAAGTACAAGCCCGAGTGTGCCCGCCGCCCGCTGACGCGGCTCCACTCCCGTCAAAACTGGGCCAGGCTCCGCGCGCCTGACCGAGCACCTCCGACCCACGCGGCGCCAGCCTGTCCACACGGGGCGATCTCCCGGCGCAACAGTCCCCGCCGTCCCCCGGGAGGGGCTGCGATCCGAGAAACGGTCGCACACTGCTCGAAGTCTGCTGGAGAGGCCAGGGCAGCGGGTGCCGAGCGCAGACCCAGATGAGACCTCGCCGTCGCTGGGGGTCTGCGGTCTGAGAAATTGTCGCTTACTGTTCGAAGTCTGTTGGAAAGGCCAGCGCGGTGGGTTACCGAGCGCAGACCCAGATGAGACCTCGCCGTCGCTGGGGGGCTGCGGTCTGAGAACATGTCTCTTACTGTTCGAAGCCTGTTGGAAAGGCCAGCGCAGTGGGTTACCGAGCGCAGACCCAGGTGAGACCTCGCTATCCCTTGGGGGCTGGGATCAGGGAAACTGCTGCAAGTCTCAAACGCTGTTGGGAGGTCCAGCGTAGGTGGCACTAAGCGCAGACTCAGATTACACCTCGCCATCCCTGCCCTGCGTGGCTGACGTCTGCCAAGCTGTCGCCACTTTCGAGGGCTGCTGGGAGGGCCATCGTATTGGGTGCCGAGCGCAGACTCAGAATAGACATTGCCATCCCTGCGGTGCTGCGATTTGCGATGCTGTCGCCGCCACTCTCGCAGGCTGCTGGGAAGGCCAACGTAGCGGTTGCCGAGCGTAGACGCAGATTACACCTCGCCATCTTTGGGGGACTGCGATCTGGAAATTGCCGCCAATTTCGAGGGCTGCTGGGAGGAGGGCCAGCATAGTGGGTTACCGAGCGCAGAGTCAAATTAGACATCGCCACACTTGAGGGGGGCGGCTGCGATTTGCGAAACGGTCGCCACTTTCGGGGGCGCCTGAGAGGGCCAGCGAAGTGACGTTTCACCGCAGATTCAGATTAGACCTTGCCATCCATGGCGGAGCTGCGATCTGCGAAACTGCTGCCAGTTTCGAAGGCTGCCAGGGGGTCCTGGCGCACTGGCGCCGGACCCATGCGCGACGGAGCCATCATCGACGCGGGGTGCAAGGACGACGGCGACGTGGACAGCCTGTGGTTGCGTCTTCACGTGATGCTATCCAGATCTATCTAGGGCCGCGAAGGTCGACCATGCTCCAGGGCCACGAAGGTCGACCATCTCCTGATGATCCAGGACCCAGGGCTGAAGGTCCTCTCTCGCGGGCCGCCCGCGCACCTCGCGGCGCGAATGCGCGCCTTCACCTCCCGCGTAGAAGATGTCGGGAAGAGGCCGAGCAGCAACTCGGACTCGCGCAGTTCCTGCGCTGATGATAACTGAATGGTGGCGTGCCTCGAAAAATTGTCCCTCTCTTTCCTCTGCCCTTCTCGCGTCGTCACCCCGTTCCTGCTGCCATTTCCCCTCGTTGCTGCCTCGCTGACTTTTCAGCTCCCCGCCTGCCTCCCCTTTGATCCTCGCCCTCTTCCCTTTCGAGCCGAACACAGAACAACATACCTCCTTCGCGCTTTTGTCCATCGATCGGCGCCCTGCGAGTCGCGCAGCTCGCGAGTCTCCCAAGTAGCGCTCGAATCAAATATAAGTCCTTACCAAGTTATCATCCGGGATAGAGTATGACCAGCTGTTCTGGCCACGCGTTGCGCCAGGGATGGGTTCGTCGCCAAGGTTGTTTTGATGTGTTGTTTGTGGAGCCGCTGGAAAAGGCCTCTGGGAAACTGTAGGGATCCGCGGCGACGGATGATGACGACGAGAAGGAGGAGGAAAAGGGATGAGATGCATGGGAGGGGGTGGAGAAGGGGGAGGGGGAGGAGGACAGGGAAGGGGAAGGGGTGGAACATGACGACGACGAGGTGGAGGATGATGGCGACACCCCATGATACTGAGGTGATACAGGAGGAGGAAGAGGGGGATGATGAGGAGGAGGAGGAGAAGGAGGCGGAGGAGGAGGCGGAGGCGGCGGCGGCGGAGGATGTGCCTTGATTCGTTTCGGAACGGTTGCGTGCCATGTTCCGAACATCAGCCCGCTTGTACGCCCTGTGAACGTGTTCGCCGTGTGATGTTTGCTCGCGGGCCGTCTCTGCAACGATATAGCTGGCGTTGCCCAAGAAGTTGTGCAACTTACGTGGTCTTGCCAGCCCGATTTTCGTAATGGCAACGTGGTCAGGGCAGGCCCCACTGTGCCACTGCGATGGCGACGTTGGTGAGCTCGATTTGTCGGGGGGCTATGATGGGATTCGCGGCTGCTACGCTACTAGTGGGAATGACGATTTATATTGATCACTTCGGTAGGGGGACTAGACGCGCAAAGCGGTTCGCGGTCGCTGTCGACGTTTTTGGTGGGGGCAGGAGTGATAAGACCTACTTCGGTGTGTGTGGGTGGTGGTGGTGGTGGTGGTGGTGGTGGTGGTGGTGGTGGTGGTGGTGGTGGTGGTGGTGGTGGATGGGGGAAGGGTGGGTGGGTGGGTGGGGGTGGGGGGGGGCGAAACGTGCAGGCGCGCTTGTCGCTGTCGGAGATGGACGAGGGCGGAGGAGGGCAACATATAATATAATCGGAAAAGGGGGGGAGGAAAAGGAGGAGGGGGATGAGGAGGGGGGGAGGAGGATAATGCGGAAGATAATAATAAAGAAGAGGAGGAGGAAGACGAGAAGGAAAAGGAGGAGGAGGAGGCGAAGGAACAACAGGAGGGAAATGGGAAAGAAAAAGGCGGAGGATGAGAGGAGAAGAGGAGACAGGAGGAGGAGGAGGAGGAGGAGGAAGAGGATGAACAACAGGAGGGAAAGGGGAAACAAAAAGGCGGAGGATGAGAGGAGAAGAGGAGACAGGAGGAGGAGGAGGAGAGGAAGGAGGAAAAGGAGGAGGAGGAGGAGGAGGACGAGGACGAGGCGAGGGAGGAGGAGGAGGAGGAGGAAAAGGAGGATGAGGAGGAGGAGGAAGAGGAGGAGGAGGAGGAGGAGGACGACGACGACGACGACTGCGACGACGACGGTGACGACGTCGACGACGACGACGACGACGAAGACGGGGAGGAGGAGGAGGCGGAGGAGGAGGAGGCGAAGACGGCCTGCTTCCGTCGCAGCCCTGCGCCCTCGACGCCGCTTGAAGGGTTCTGGGCGGGGCACACGGGCGCCTCTGCACCTCGGCCCGGCCGTGCGAGGTGCCCTCGCCTCTCGGCACGAGCGCCCGGGCCCCTCGGGTGGCGCTCGGCGGATCGGGGCCCTGGGCACCGAAGGCTCCAGCCGGCCATTCGCCAGCGAAGGGTTTGGGCACCACCCTCGCTTGGCATCACTCGGACGTGTGAGCTTTGTTCTCGACGAGGACCATCGAGGAGCATCCTGGATCGTCGAACCCAAAACAAACAAACAAACAAACAAACAAACAAACAAACAAACAAACAAACAAACAAACAAATAAACAAACCAAAAACACCGACCCGAACAAGTGCACGGGGAGTGGACGGCCGAGCGACGGCCAGATCGACGCCCTGGGCGGCGAGGGGTCCTTGCGGCCATTCGCCAGCGGAGTGTCAGGGCACCACCCTCTGAGCAAACAGGGGCGGCAGGCGCACAGACGCTTCCGGAGGTCTGCGGCGTGGAGCATGTTTTTTTTGGGGGGGTCGGCGCTGGGCCTCTCATGGCCTCTCCTCTCCGGGGGCGCAGGAGGAAGTTCAACAGTACGACGTGCCCTCCTTGCAGGCGTGCGTCCGACCAGACCATGCAGTTCGGGGGCGGCAAAGACGGGGGTTATGACTAGGGGGGTGGTATCAGGGCGGGGGCCACGATATCTCCCCAGATTTCATGGCGCCTCTTCTTATTTCATTGCGTCCCTGGCCCCCCCCCTGGGACGCGCACATGCCGCTGGCCATGATTTGCGCCCCCCCCCCCCCTTGGACCCCCCCCCAGAGTAGTACAGCAGTATTATGGGCGATCGTCTTCTGATTCATTGTTTTGCCGATCAGCGCGGGCCCTCGCACCCCCCCCCATGGAGTCGATCCTGGCTGCTTTTGGCGCCCGTTTCAAGCAGGTGGAGCCTCCCACATAGAACGCACTGCTGAAGCAGTCGCATGGAGCAGAGGTCCGGAGCCAGACCCCCCCCCGCTAACCCCCAGACCCCCCCTCCCCCGCCCAATGTCGAAGCGCCTAGTGCGGTGAGGGCGTTCGTTAAGGAACGTGCCTCCAGGAGACCCTGGAGAAGTCCTGGAAACCCCAAGAGGCCACCAGGAGACCCTGGAGGATTCCTTATCTGATGAGGGTGACGGTGATGTCCATGGCCAAACATCAGTTGGAGTTCCTCCACGAGCTTCCAGACCCTGGATTCCTTCTCTAAGGCTAAGTTGGGCCTGTCCCTCTACAGGAGGAATCTTCAAACAGAGTTGTTTTAAGAAAAAAAGTCTCGGGACTATCTTTTGACTATTTTTCAGCATTTGGGGAGCATGTCTGACTATCTAAAATCTGTCGCCCAGACTCCCCCTGCAAGGGGGACAGGCCCGACCCGAACCTGAGAGTTCGGCCCGGTGCCCCCCACCGTGTGCCGCGC